AGAAAAGAGCTATACAGCTCAGTGTGCCTTGTCTGGTCAAATATAAAAAAAAAACTGTTTTATTTTCTACTTTAGTTTAGGGTTGGGTCCAGCCGTAGAGACTGCCTCTGGAGAAACAGCCTCTACGTCCGCCAGCACCACCACGCTGGAGACGGAGCGATGGAATCAGCTGTGCATCGTGGCATAGACTTGGCCTCCGCCTGCCCGTGAATCATCATCATCATCAGCATCATCATCATCCCCCGCGTAGACAGAGCTCCGCGCTGCCTCACAGCCCACGTCAGTGGCCATTCGCACAATGCGCTTGATGCAGTATTCACAAAAGCAATTAATATCGGCGTAGGCTTACACGTGACATTAAATAACTATATTCAGTGGCTTAGTGTAGCGTGGTCAACACGGACCCTGGTCTAAGGCATTCAATTGGAACGGTGGGAAGGGGGGTGCCTGCCCCCCCCCCGGTGCAGCTGCACCGCCTGCACACTCGGACAGCTACGCCGCCGAGTGTCTGTGATGTGCAGCGCACGGCGTTATCACGCTTGGGGAAGGCCACCGCGTGCGATTTACTGCAGACGCGAACAGGTTGTGTAAATCGATGACTGTCACCTGTAGCCAATGTCAGTCGTGGGGGAGGGTGGGGGGGGTCTAGGGAGGCCCCAGGGGGAGGGGGGTTTATGGGGGGGGGAGTGGGGGGAGGGGGTGGGGGAGGGGGTGGGGGGAGGAGGGGGTGGGGGGGGACGTTTGTTATGGCGCGCGCGTGCGTGCAGCGTCTGAACGTGACCGCGTCTCGGCACTGTGTACACGCTCGCCGGGACACGACGTCAACACGCGTGGCCTCCTCAGTCCTGTCACATATTTATGGTCTTGTGATGAATCTAACTCGATTTCCGCGTCCCTCTTGCCTGATGGGAGCTCAGAGCAGTTGGAGCGAAACGCCGTCGTGCTTTTGTCGAAGTTGAACTCGCCCGCGAGACGTTTCGAGCCATCGGCAAGCTTAGGGGTGGGGGAGGGGGGGGGGTCCTCTATTGGTAAGATTGTGATCGAGATCGTGGGGGTGTAGTCGCGTCGGGGTAGTTGAGGATTATTGACGACACTTTTGGCGTGAAGCTACCAACGCGTGTGGCCTAACCCGAAAGCAATTAGGGATCACAGTTGGGCCGAGCTATTTTAACAGAGAGAACGATGCAGTCAGTTACAGCCAGAGCACTGAAGGAGGAAGGGCTTGAGTCAGAACCCCGTACTGTCTCTTTAAACTAAACGTTTTATTTTATTTTACCAGGTAAGGCCCACTGAGCTATGTAGCTCTTTTTCAGCAGTGACCTGGTCATCACAAATAAAAGCACAACGAAGTGGCTTGTCACCATGTGGACATTTCCAGCAGTCTTCTTCTTCTTCTTCCACGCGTTTGTCGCACCCACGTGGGGTGTTCCGCTGTCCTTGCCAACCTTCTCCACGCTGCCCTGTCCTGTGGCGTCTCTCTTTCGGCTCCTCGAGCCACCGCGTCCCATGGCACCGCATCGCCCCCTCCACCTCTTCTTCTGCCTTCCTCTTCATCTCTTTCCTTCCACTTGCATCACGTGCACCTTCCGACCAACATACATGTTTCTGTTGTCTCTCTACCAGCCTCTCATCTTCTCTGTGATTTCTACCACCTTGAGGCTTCTTCTCACTCCATTTCTCACCCTATCCTTCCTTGCTAAACCCAACATCCACCGCAACATCCTCCTCCCTGTGACTGCCATAGCTTGGTCCTCCGTCTTTCTTGTGCCCCAGCACTTGGCCCCATGCAATAGCACTACTACACTACACTATACACTACATTATACACTACTATACACTACACTACACTATACACTACACTATACACTACTATACACTACACTATACACTACACTATACACTACTACACTATACACTACACTATACTACTATACACTACTATACACTACTATACACTACTACACTACACTATACACTACATTATACACTACTATACACTACACTACACTATACACTACTATACACTACACTATACACTACTACACTATACACTACACTATACACTACATTATACACTACTATACACTACACTATCCACTACTATACACTACACTATACACTACACTATACTACTGTACACTACACTATACACTACTATACACTACACTCTACACTACACTATACTACTGTACACTACACTATACACTACTACACTACACTATACACTACACCATACACTACTATACACTACACTATACACTACTATACACTACACTATACACTACTATACACTACTATACACTACACTATACACTACACTATACACTACTATACACTACACTATACACTACTATACACTACACTATACACTACTATACACTACACTATACACTACTATACACTACACTATATACTACACTATACACTACTATACACTACACTATACACTACTATGCACTACACTATACACTACTATACACTACACTATACACTACACTATACACTACTATACACTACACTATACACTACTATGCACTACACTATACACTACTATACACTACTATGCACTACACTATACACTACTATACACTACACTATACACTACTATACACTACACTATACACTACACTATACACTACTATACACTACACTATACACTACACTATACACTACTATACACTACACTATACACTACTATACACTACACTATACACTACACTATACACTACACTATACACTACTATACACTACACTATACACTACTATACACTACACTATACACTACTATACACTACACTCTACACTACACTATACTACTGTACACTACACTATACACTACTACACTATACACTACACCATACACTACTATACACTACACTATACACTACTATACACTATACACTACTATACACTACACTATACACTACTATACACTACTATACACTACACTATACACTACTATACACTACACTATACACTACTATACACTACACTATACACTGCACACTTTTCCCTTCAACCAAACTGGGACCGTATTATCGCACACCACGCCGGTCATCTCTCGCCATTTCAGCCATCCAGCCCTGGTTCTTGTTCTCGTCTCTCCTTCTCGTGACCCATCAGCCACACATCGTTGCACCCAGCCACTTAAACTCGTTCGTCTTCATTAACTGGTCACTTCCAATTTCCAATTCTCCTTCTGCATTATTTCCAATGAAATGTGCCACCATATACTCAGTCTTTGTCCGACTGATCCTCAACCCATTCCCTTCAATCTTTTGCACCCAGATCTTTAAATCATCTTCCACTACCCCCCCTCTGCTTTCACCGCATAGCCACGATGTCGTGAGCAAACAGCGTACAGCAGGGGGGGCTCCCTCTGAACGTCTCCCGCGAGTGTGTCCAGCGCCACGATGAACAGGAAGGGGCTGAGGGCGGAACCTCGCTTCACTCTCGCTTTCACTTGAAGGGTCTCCGACACTCCACAGCTGCTCCGCACGTTCATTCTCTCTCCTTCATACATATCCTGGATCAGCTGGACATGTACCTGAGGAATACCTCTTCTTCTCATACACCACCAGATGAGCTATCTAGGCACCCTGTCGTACCCTTGCTATAGATCACTAAACACCACGTGCCGGTCACGTTTCTTCTCTCTGAACTTCTCCATCAAAACTCTTCTGAGTGCAAAGATCGCACCCATTGTTGACCTTCCCTGTCTCAATCCAAACCGATTCTCGTCAATGTGCACCAGCTTCCTCAGCCTCCCTTCTGTGATATTTCCCCAGAGTATCATGGCGTGACTCATCAATGCTATTCCTCTGTAGCTCCCACACTCTTCCACATCACCTTTCTCTTTAAATATGGGAGGGGAGTAGAGTGAGTTGGGGGGGGGGGGGGTGGCAGAGGTAGGAGAATGCGTGGAGGGGAGTAGAGTGAGATGACAGGGCGTGGGTGGGGTGTGGTAGGTGGGGTAGGTGGAGGTTGAGTGGGTGGGTGTTGTAGGGTGGATAGGGCGGTGTGGGTGGGTAGGGCGGTGTGAGTGGGTGTTGTGGGGTTGGTGGAGAGGGTGGGTGGATTGGGGTAGGTGGGGGTTGAGTGAGTGAGTGGGTGTTGTGGGGTGAGTGAGTGAAGTCTGGCAGCCGCATTTTGGATGATCTGGAGATTGGAGGGGGCGGGGGGGGATGCGAGGAGAAGAAGGAGGAGCGAAGCGCGCGCCAGTCAGAGGCAGGGTCTGGGGCGGTGGAGAGGAGGACCCCCACGTGCTCACCGCGTGGGGCTCGACAGCCGCCGTGAGTGCCAGCGGGTCAGATGACCGTGAGCGAGGAAACAATGCCCCATAATTGGGCCCAATATCTCCCGCAAGCTGAGCGCGGTTGAGCGTGGTTAGTGCTTGGATGGGTGAGCAGCACACAAAGACCACCCCCCATGAAGGCAGCCACGGCAGACGAGGGGGTGGGTGAGACCAGCACCACGCCCCACCGCATTTGTCTCCCGAGTGGAAAATGTTTACACCCCGCACCAGGTACTCATTTGAGGCCGAGCCGACCTAGGGGAGGCCCAGGGGATCGTTGCTGTGTGCGATGCTTTCGGTACAATGGGAGGTGAATTACTCCATCGGGTGGCCGAGTGCGGTGATTTGGCGCTCTCGCGGGGGCTTAATCCGAGCCGTGAGCCGGGCGCGACGGGAACCCGAGCAGTGCTCCCGCCCGCCCGCCCGGCACACCACGTCCACAGAGTCTGGGGACTCGGTGGGGCTCTCATGCAGGGTGACACAGCGTAACAACAACAACAACAATAATAATAATAATCCCCTCAGCCACTACATTACTTTGTCTGATGTTTATCTAAACCTGGCCTCTCTCTACCCATTGCCCCTTGTGTCTCCCACCACTGGCCCTTGTCCCCCTCCCCACTGCCCCTTGCCCCCTATCCCCACTGCCCCTTGCCCCCCCCCCCCCCCACTGCCCCTTGCCCCCCCCCCTGCCTCCCGGGCCCAGGTGAGCGTGGTGCTGTGTGGGGGCGGCTGCTCCCTTCTGGCCGTCAGCTCGCTGCTGGCCGTGCTCTGCCTCGTGCTGCCCGAGGGAGAGGGCGAGCGGCGCGCGTGCACGCTCGCGGGGTGCGCGCAGTCGGCCGCAGGTAGGGCCCTCGCCGTCGCCCCTGCCTCCGGGAGGCTCGCGGATTCGAATCCCCGCGGTCGCCCCGGTTATCTTTATTGTCGTCGTTGTCGTTGTTTCAAAATGTGAAAAACAAGAAGAGGTTTTGCCCCTTCTGGCACTAAAACAGCAGGTGTTAAGATGTTCAAACGCCAAATAGAAACCCTTTTACAAGGAATCACGTGACCGCATTAACCACACACAGAGTACTTATGCTCTGATAATAATATATATTTGCATATTCACCGCTGGAAGAAGGCCTCCCTCTCAAAACCGCCATATCTCACGATCCTACGATGTTTTAATCCACCCAGCACCGAACCGATTTCATCGCTCCATCTCCCCGGTGATCCATCCTCCAGGACGCGTCGTCCCACTCATCGGCTGCCGCTCCGTTATCAACCTTGACCACTGTTCATCATCACGGTCCCGCCTGCCCGACACCCACTCACCCCTCTTCACAGTGGGGCCCACGTCACGAATCCGCGCGTGAGTTCTCTATTCAACGCGCCTCCTCCTGCTGCTGCCTCTCGGTGTCATTCCGAGCACGTGTCTCTCCGCGCTTCGTTGCGCCTTTCTCAGATTGCGCTCCGCGTTACTCGCTTAATGGTCGCCTTCCTGAACCACGTGCCGCGACACAGCAGGGCAGCGCGTCACCGCTGCAGCGGGCGCTGTCGCCTGTGCGACGGCTCCGCCTCGACCCTAGGGCAGGGGCCGGGCAAGAAATTAACAGGAAGAGACATGATGCGCTGTGGTGCTGAATACGACACGCTGGGGGTTCTGAATCAAGGCCGTAATTATAATATATATGCTCAAAATGCCCCTTCCCCCCCCCCCCCCCAATATTATTGCTATAAAATAGATTTCTGTTGATATGATTGTGGTTATGGTTGTATTTTATTCATCCCTAATCTCTGCCATTACATGCAATGAAACAAGAAGAAGTAAAAAAGAAAAAACAGAGCAATGTAATACAATACACTATTAGACAATATTGTAAAACATACATAAAAAGTCCATCCTATGTGTTAGTGAATTTTTTCATATTTAATGCAGGAAATTCATTTTCAAATTTAGATTTTTTTTCTGGGGGGGGGACCCCCAGACCCCCTGGAAGATTTGGTCCCTCCCAATGTTTGCTCCATGGCTGGCTACGGCCTTGTTCTGAATAGCTCCGTAACGTCACGAAGCAGTTCCTTGAAGAGCCGCATGCGGCTCCAGCACCGTAGGGGTCGGGCCTTTCCTGCCCACGATTCATCAAGCAGCTTTAGGTCCTACGGAAGAAAACTCTGGATCGGTTTCCACTTCCTGGGTGTCATCAGCAGTCGGGTTTGTCAAATAATCGCTGCTGCTGCCGGCTTACTGGCTATTACTGGCGAGGGCACTCAGTGACCTGATTGACGAACGTACGTATTTATGCACGTATGTATGCACCTATGTATGCACCAATGCACGTACGTATTCTGTCGCACCGTACATAGCCAACCGTCCGAATCGGAGGTGTGGTCTGGATGGACTTGTGTCGAGACGGAACGGACGCGCGCATATGTACGCACCGCTCACGTGATCGTTTCCTTTGTGACGCCACGCGTGTCCACGCCCTCTCGTGCGAGAGCCCCACGTGCTACGGTCCGGCAGGAGCACATCCTCCGTGGCCGACACGGCGCGGGGCTGCCTTCGTTCAGCATGTGCGTGTGTGCAGGTAGTCCTCGACTTACGAACACACACTTACCAACCAGCTTCCATTATTTTGTTCATATCGACTTAAAATGCGAACCCTTACTCTCACAAATTGAACTATATTGTTCAGCTGAGCGATCCTCCGTGTGTTGTAACGAGTTAGCCTCGTGCTAGGAGTGAGTGGGTGTGTGGGCGCATTTAAATACAGTAGATTACTGTGTTCCGACTAGCGAACCGTTCGACTTACGAACGGGTCTCAGGAACTAATTGTATTCGTAAGTCGAGGACTGTCCCGATGTTGAACTTCTTTCGCACCGTACGTAGCCAACCGTGCTCATCGGAGGTGCCCGAGGAAGGACAAACTTAACACAAAAAGCAGTTCTAAAGACATGCGTTTTCAATCAAGATTGTTTTAAAGTGCGTCGCTCCCAGTGGCGTCTTAATATCGGGAGGAGGAAGAGCATTCCAGACGGCCGCATAAGCGCATCTGAAAGCGCGCGATGCGGCGGCTGCCTTCATTTGATGGCCAGCAGCCAGATGGCAGCGCATAGATTATATTATCCCACTGATTGTCTCCCGTCGACGACCGCTGCCTGCCCCGCACGCCTCCTGCAACATAATCCGCGGTGTCTCCTCCCTCTTCCGCTCTCAAGATTCCTCCCTGTGGCCTGGACTGTCACGGCCAAACCGAGTGGGGGGTGGGGGTGGAGGAGTTCGGTGGCCGTAAGGCGGCAGACACAGACGACGTCGAGAGCCTCGTCTGATGAGAGCGATGGCTTATAAAGGCGCTGCCCCATGGGGACGTTAATAACGGGACGCGTCTTCTCGCCACGGCGGGCACGAGTTTCCACGAGCGGGGCGGTGGTGAGAAATGAGGTTGTACGGCAGGCGCTCGCGAAACTTGACGACGGACGCGCTGTGGTGCTTTGACTCGAGCTGCGATTGGGAGTTTCATTGCGGATGTGAATGGACCTCCCGCAGGCACAGGGATCGCGGTGCGAGTGCGCCGCTGCTGCCGTTGCGAAACCCTCAGGGCGCCGTGCGTGCCTTTCTCCCTCTGTCCCGTGCGCGCGCGTCGGTGCCGCGGCGTCTCGCGCTGTTCGAGGAGCGTTCGGCGCTCGCCCAATGCTCTCCGCGGCGGCATGGGGAGGTTTGTCTCCCGAATCAGAATGGGAATGGTGATTTATCCCGGAGAAACCCCATGAGCTGTGAAGCTTTCTCTTTCGCACATGTCCAGTCGGTGGTGGGTCAGAAAGTTACAACGAAGAATACTAAAAAAAAAATACCGGTAGGAGCGCGAAGTGTAGGAGAGGCAACCAAGTCACGAATAGAAATAAACACGTAAAATAGATGAAAAAAATTAGTTAAGTACACGTAATTCCCAAGCTTGGGAAAGACAGAAAAACAACAACAGCAACAACAACAAAAACAGGTCCCAAACCAAAAACAGCCCCGAAGAGTGGATTGGAGAGACAGAGACCGGGATTTATAAAGGTGGAGAATGTTAATGTAATATGTTTGGAGAGTGGGGGCTGGTGGTGGTGGGGGGGGTGGAGGACACGACAGGTGCTTGATGGGTGGAGGCGCAGGGCATGGCACTGGCAGCGTTGTTGTGGTTGCGATTATTTGACTGGACGTGGATCAGTTTTGTTCAATCACGCGGTTGTCCATCACAGGGCATGCTGCTGCTGTTGCCGCTGGTCAGGGGTGTTGAGATCGCACGCTGCATGATTATTATTATTTTATTCCAAGTTATTTCAGGGGCACGCTTCTGCTAATATCGGTTAATATGATGATTTATAGAGGCAGCCAGACCATACCGAACATCACGACTCTCACACACACACAAACAACAACAACCGCCATTCGCCTCTAAGTGGCGGTGACATCACCACGACGCTTGTGCCAGGCTATGTGCACGTTGAGGCCACGTGAAGTGTCGAACACCCGCTGGCAGGAGGTCACGGGGCAGACCCAGGTGTCACGGGTCGACTGAGACGACTGAGATAACTGGCTGATGCACCACCTGTGCCCCCTACTGTGCCAACCTGCTGTGCTTTAGCCACCCGGCGCTCCGCTTGTTGTTGTGAGCGTCGCTCCTCCCCCATCCGTTGTTGTAGGAGGGCTACTGCCTCCAACTGCACAGTAGCGTCCTTCAAGAGCCTCCTCCACAGAGGCCGATCTTGACACCGCTGGTACCAGTCATCGGCAAGTCCACTCAGCTCCATCTCTTCTCGAGCTCGTGCCGTGCCCGTTTAGCCCCCTCTATCCGGTTCGTCAAAAGCTGTTTAGGCATGCGGTGACTGGGAATGCGGGTTACATGACCCAGCCAACGCAGCCTTGCCTGCCAGCTCACCGATGGGATTTTGCTCACATCTTTCAAGGATTTGTGAGTTCACACAATCCAGCCTGGTTAAACCCAGGATGGATCGTAGGCAGGCCAGCCTAAATGTTTCTAACCGGCGAAAATGTTCCATTAGGGGAGTCCATGTTTCTCAAGCGTAGAGAAAGGAGGGAATGACCGTGGCCGATAAGACCTGAAGCTTCGTGCAGAGCGACAGACCAGGTAGCTTACACACATAGCGTTATGCAACCGATGAAAATATGACACTCGACTGATTCGGAGTGAGACCTCTGCTGTCAAACCGGAGCCGGTCATGAGCACACTGCCCAAGTATGGGAAACTCTCCACTCTCTCCACAACTGCCCCATCACCAATTGGGAGTTGTGCGGGTGGAGTGTCTGATGACACAAAATACCCAGGCAGGTGCTTAGTTTTGGTGGGGCTGATGGTAAGGCCGCACCTCTTCGTGGCATGCTCCAGGTTCAGCAGCAGCGTCTCCAACTCCTCCTCTGAGTGAGCTGCAATTGAAGCAATTGGCGGGACCGCGGGGTCCCATCACTGCCCCGTGGTGGGAAAAACCGCGTAGCGACACGAGTCTCGCCTTACCGACAACAAAACTAGTGGTCAATCGATTGGCCTCGTCGAGAGCTACTCGGGGCACTAAGTTTCGTAAAAAGTTGAAAAGAAAGTTGAAACATAACATAAACACAATAAATTCACTGCGGGGGCGCGCTCGCCTTGGCAAAGAAGCTGAGGATCGACGGCTGACTGGAGGGCGTCGTCGCCACGCGCGACTGCGGCGGACGCCCCCCGGGGCTTGCGTTTGGCCGGTGGGGTGGCGCCCATCGTGTCGATCGCCGCCTGCTGCTGCTGGCGCTTGTTGGCGTGAGTCTGGGCGGGCGGCGCGTTGCTGTCGCGATCACGAGTGGGGCGGACTGAAAAATAATCATTATTGACCT